AAATCGGTTTTTGGAGCTTCAAAATGTCTGGCCATCGAACAATCCAACTTTTTTTTAATTATGATGGAAAACAAACATATTTCAGATATTTTTAATATTCTTTTTGTTTTATTTTATTTTATCTCACAGGATTTCTTCCAGTATCAGGAACCCAAGGCGAGTCGCTGACTAAAGTCTTGGGCCCTTTTCTTGCCCTGGCCCCTAACCATTAGAATTTGAATAGAAAAGAATCTAAGAAATTGAAAAGAAAAACAAGAGAAAAAGGAAAAGAAAAAGGTCTATTCCAAGTTAAGGAAACCCTTAACTATACTGCAGGCTCTAAAAATGAATAATTATAATTATTCTCAGTTCAACATTGTACACCATCACGCGTGGGGTTGGTTTGAACCCTCATACAGGGGCAAACAATTCTCCTAAGTATGAGAGCTGTTATTTGTTTAGCTGGCCGGGTGGTAGTAGTAGGTACTTATAATTATTATGAGCCACTAGACAAGGTCTGAAGAAGAAGATAACATCGGATATTTTCTCTTTAAAATCTTACACACAGAAAACGATTTACACAATGGGAAGTTCGGAAATCAATTCCTGAACAAGATATTAAAAAGTCTTTTAAACAAAGATAAAATGGAAGTTGTAATATACAAATGACGTCATTCGTACTTTTGCCATTTAACCAATGTTACTTGAAAACACTTACGCCTTGTTCAAGAGTCGATTTTCAGACTTCCCGTTTTGTGATTCGTTTTTTTTGTGATATTTTGAACAGAAAACACGTAGCGTTGTGCTTTAATCATTCTTAACTTGTTTAGAGGCGCGTTTTGAATAAAGGAGAGGCATTAAGAATTCTTAGGCTTGGAAAATATAGACTCCATGCGTTTTAAGAGATAAATTAATTTATTACATCCATTATTTTTGTATTTTACCCGGAAATAATATCGAAAAAATTAGATCATGACCACATTCTTGAAAATTTTTGGAAAAATGTGAAAAAGGCCCAAACAGCCACTTTTGAAATTAATAAATGAGGCCTTTTGAAACACTGAAATTTCAAGGGCGAACTCAGCTACTAGGGAGGAAAGATCCATCCTGGCCGTTTGCGCCTTCCGGGTGACATAAGCGCCTGGGTTTTGCACGTGTTCTTCAAATTGTTGTAAGCACGCCAGAGATTAGCATGCTCATTGTATGCGTATACAAAGCCGATGACACATATGATAAATACAATTAGTGCCCACAACCTGGAAAAAATAAATGAAATTTAAAAGTCAAAACGGACCTGTTCGAAACACCTTGTTCTCATGACATTAAAATAGCAAGGCAGCATATAAATCCAACGTTGTAATTGCAGCAGTTTCAGAAGATAACAATTATTAGGCCCCCCTCAAAACTCTCTCCAAAACTAGGGCCGGGACTGTCGCGATCTAAGGAAAGTAAAACGAAGGTACGCTCCTCCGCTATACAGACCACCCAAAATCGACATAACCCTCCGATCCGTTAGTTTCACTTCAGCCTCGGCGGAAAGTTTGAAAGACAGTGCCGATTTTGCAATATCATACTATGAATCCTACTTACATATTAGGTAATCCTGCTTTTGCCTAAATAATTATACCAGTGGAAAGCCTAGAAATTGAACCAATACAATACAGCCAAGGTTGCCACAGAATTTAAAAAATTAAATTCCCTGACATTTCTTTGATTTCCCTGACTTTTGAATTTTTCCTATGACATCTTAGGCTGTACGGGATGGTTATAAAAATACATAATATAAAATTTTTTTATTGAAAACATATAAGTTTTACGGTGAAACGTTTATACGCATACACCCAGTTTTTTGTCATTGACAGCAACTAAAGGAAGTTACATCTTTGAGTGGCCCATTATTAAAGAAGATTTGGTCAATTTCTGCAGGCTCTGATTGCCCCAGACTAATGAGTTGAAATTCTGCAAAGCTTAGGAATTTTGAGAAGTATATGCTGGGTGTGCAACCACTTCCATTTACGACGAATAAGTATATAGTAGGTAAAACTGATTCTTTTGTACATAATGAATGAGAAGAAAGGAAATTGAGCAAATCATTTTTCACTTTCAAAATATTAAAAACTAGAAAAGCTCTATATTTTACACTGAAATAATGTCATGTTGCTAATATAAAAAAAAACCTCATGGAGATGAAGCCACGAACGCATAAATTACAGCAAAAATGAACCAATCCACCTCCCCAGTTCAAATTTTAGTACAATCTCAGCATAATTTTATTTTAGCATATGGACTAGGTATCTATTACTGCGGTGTGGAACAACTTTTGGTTTGACAAACTTGGGTTATACAGTTCTGTCTTGAAAGCATTTCAGAAAATGTTAAGGAGCACTTTTTACCTCTTCCTTCCCCATTTTTTCCTTCTCATTTTTTTTTTGGGGGGGGGGGGAGGACATGCCACCATGCCCCCTTCCCTGGATCCGTCACCGAAGGGAAGGGAAGAGAAGGAGTGAGGGGAGCAGGGCGCGGCGCATGAATTCGTCTGCAAAATCGCCCCTTCCACACTTGAACACGCAATATCAGTTGTTCGAAATTTCAGATTCGTTCTCAGAAGTAAAAAATTATAGTCTGTCCCAGATAGGAAGAGCGCTGGAAAATCAGAATAATTTGTCGTGAATAACATGCCCTGATGGCCTATGTCGGCTGGAGGCAAATCTAGGGGAAATCGGCTTATTTCGCGGGAAAATTAACTGACCTTTGAATTAACGTACTTGGGGGTCTGAACCCCCCCCCCCCCTCAAATTAGTTCGAAGTGATTTCTGCAATTTTTACTGAAAAGCGAACACAATTTGGTAAATTTTCCCGTTTCATTTTTTTCTTTACGATAATTTGAACCGGAGTTATGATTTTTTGAAAATAGGTCAAATTTGACCTTTGACCTATCATATTTCGGTCAAAAAATAAGATATTGATCTGCGGTTTGCGCCAAAATTCTTAGTTTTTATGCTCTTTCGAATGAGGTATCACAAAATAGGGGTTGCCATTTGAAAATACAAGTTGGGGGCCCCCCGCCCCCCCNGACCAAAATTTTGATCCCCCCCCCCCCAAAAAGATGGTCCCCTTTGAGATAGGAACATTCCCAAAGTTTCATTACCCTAGCTTAATTCGTTCAAAAGTTAGCAGGGGTGGGACGGACTTTTGGTACACCCTGTATGTTAAGGTATGTGATTTCACTCACTTTTTGAAATTGTTGGTTAAACAGTTCATCCGGTTCGGCTGCTTTGGCCAGTTCGGGTGGTTTGGCCGGTTTGGCTCGTTCGGCTGAGTTTCCTCCACCACGATCTATAAAATAAGAAATTAGGAAGTATGTAGATGTCGAATGTAAATGAGGAAGTAGAAAGAAACATTATTGGTACAGATGTCGAATCTCGTCGGAAGATCTAAACCTTTCTGGAACCACAAAAAAACCCACCAAAGCATACTTTTAAAATAATCACCTCGTATTTCAGATAACAATTTCCGGTTCTTCATATCTTGAATAAAAGAAAGGAAAAAACTTTGAAAAATTTCAAACTAGCTTTTCTAAAAAATGTTTTTTTTTTGCTTCAAAGGTTGCGCCAACTCGTCAATCGGTTTGGTATTTTGCAATTTTACTAACCAACTTTTTTACCAACCGATTCTACTTTTAAACAGGTGTTTTAAGCCGAAAGTTCCCGTTAATAATCATTTACATCCTACAGGCTCTTTTTAGAGGGCCGCAGTTGCCAACAGAGGCGGATCCAGCAATTTGGCAACACCAGACTCCCTCCATTTCAACATATATTAAATAATCGATTCTTGACGGAGCACCTGGCCCCTCCAGGAATCGAGTTAGGTTAGGTTCAAGTATAGTAGTATCAAGTATCGTGTAATTAAACATTAGCTTTCAGATTCAATTCACTCACAAGAAATTCCTCTTTTCCGTCACATCATAACTCGCAGTGATCAATGACTAAACAGTGAAAATGTAAAACTTTTAAATTTATGTTTTTTTTTGTTTTTTTTGTTTCTTTTGTTTAGTACCTACATGACACGGTTACTTCCAAATTACAAAACTTTCATTTATCTTGGGTTGTAAAGTACCTACTATTTACATTACTTACCATTTTCTGATGGTATCCTACAGGGACAGCCTCGATGAAGATGCAGCAAACAGTTTCACTTTTATGCATGATTTAGTTTTAAAAACACACTGCACTTTCACGATCCAAGAACGTATCTTGGAGCAAATATTATGATGATTGAACGAAGATTCAAATGGCCAGTCCCGGGTCCTGTGGAGCGAGGGTGAGATTTTCGTGTGACAATTTGCGTCGAAGATTCGTGCGCGAATGATGATGCATGCGCGGACTCTTTTAAGGTTTACCTTTATGCCCTTGGGAGAAGGGACGAGCCTAAATTGAGGCGTTGGGTGCAAAAAGGGCATTTCTTGGTTGCGGTGTCTCAAAATCTTCACAGCTAAATTATATTTTAGAGAGGAAACTATTCAGTGGATTTCTCGGAATTCCTCATTATTAGCATCGTAAAATCATGAAGAAAATTCAGTGAAAGTTTCAACGAATTCCATTCATTTGCTTTGATCATAATAGATGAAACGTTAGCGGAGATTCTGAGACACTGCAATGAAGGAATGTCCTTTTTGCACCCAGCGGCTCAATCGTATTCAAAACTGCCTTCAAAATTAGGCCATTTTCGGCATTTTACAAAGCATTTGGACTTATTATATCTCCGATGAAGATAAAATAAGAGCATTGTCTCGACGGCTGGTTGGCGATACCTACCTGATCGGAGGGACGGTAATGTCATCACGCCACATTGATAGGTTTATTGCACGCAGTGTGGCCTTTTTCCGAATTTGACCGTGAGTTTGGGCGGAGTGTCTGTCACAGGGCGCAGGGGAAACTCGAGGTAACCTTGAGGGACTTGCGGTCGGAGGGGGATGGTTTGGCGACTCTTTGAAGTTTAAAAATTGGAATTTGGGAGCAAATGTTTCACCGGGTATGCATTAAAATTAGTTTCACTTGAAATAATCATCTCTTTTATTCAGAAATAGCATTTATGTGTCTCGTCCTCCAAGCCCCTCAAATAATGTAACACACTGAAAAAAAAAGTTTTGAGGCAGCAAGAAAAATTTGATAACAATTTTTTGGGGACTGTTTTTTCATCTTTAAGCCCTAGAGATACCAACAGCTGAAACGCAAGTGGCATAATGTTTTGAAGGAACATTAGGCAGTCTCGGACCTAAAAAGGCTGTCTGAATTGATCAAGGAACAAATCATAAAGGGTGGTATGTGGGGCGCCCCGGAGAAATTTTGGGGTATCAATGCACCTAAGTTGCAGTTTAAGTCAAGTGTCCGCATGAATAGTCATTAAATTCAAGCTTCCTGACTTCTTCTTTCCTCCGTAATTTTTGCTTTCTTCCATTTTCCCCTGCCCTTCCTTTTTTTCGGGATAATTGGAGGGAGGGGGAGCCCTTGAATTCGCCTATGGGCGATGAAGGGTTTGGACACGAGCGTACGAGGGAATTTTTCCTGGTGGTGGAAGAGTTCGGTGTGGACTGTGTCGGAAAACCTGAATTCAGCATTCGCGCATTCTTCGTCTATCTATCAAACGTTGCGTTTATCGTCCTGTTGTAAAAAAAAAAAAAAATTACACTAACATTGACTGTTCAGTAGTTATTCAAAATTTGAGGGCTTAGGCCATAGTGCTCGGGCCATAAGAATGAATGGGAAATATAAAGCGCCAGTGACGAAACCGTCGTCGCGGCTCCTCGTAGTGGGCATTAACTCATGAGCCCTCTTCACAACGCTCTACGCACATGCCCATGGCTCATACACTTTGCACATAGTTTCGTTTGACAGAATGTAAAATCCCACTTTTCCAATTCAGCAAACGGAATTGTGAGCTTGAATTCTTGTTGATTACCTAGCTAAAATATTAATATCCGTCAAAACAGCAACTTTCTACGTTAAGTAACTATTACCTAGGATATCGCGCTTTGAAAAACTCAGTTTGTGACGTCATTCACCGCGGTTGTGCATAGGAGAGTGGGGGAATAGGGTCCTCATTGTGTTGCCAGTTTAGTACATAAAATATGCCCGCTGAGCATTGACTTCTACGGGAAAATTCCAGAGTCCTCTGACGGACCGATAACTGTTTGCAGCTGCGATTTATTGAGGAGTGATAAGGTTCCATCCGAAACCGTCCTTGGATCTTTTGGTGGAAGAAGCCTTAATCATTCTTCTCCGTGCCTTCGAACAAGATGAACACTATTTGGTCGATGCAATATTTTTGGTGGCCCATACCATCAGAAGGGCCAGGCACCGAATTTTTGCGAGTCAAACCAAACGAATTGCGAAAAGTCCCATGGCATCTTATTCACTATGCTCCGCCAATGCTGAGATCATTGTGGTGGGGTCCACCAGATCCAGAAGACACGGCATACTGTCACCACTGTCTTCTTTGTGGTGACATGTGTCAATGTCTAGTCAGGACTGTTGGGCCCTGCTTTTCCAGACGTTGTATGTGCAAACCACTGCAGCTTTGGCCGGCACCCATTCGATTCGTTGACTTCTCTTAATTTTTCTTAGTATCATTCAAAAAAATCTCATGCTTTGGGTACTATCGATTTTTTTTTTGCCGTACATTTATTAATCTTTTTTTTTTGTCTTTTTTTTGCCACATATTTTTTATTATTTTTTTTTGGCACATAAACGGAATAATCATCTGAAGATCACATCTTCAGACCTTTGTGTCTTCGTGCACAAAGACGTTAGGGAAAGTTCAGCCGCTTCATGCAAACAGCTTCCACGTCTCTGTCAGGCGTCAACCTGTTGAAGTGGCACGATGACACATGGGTTCTTCCGCCCTTTTGCCTATTAGCAACCTTCGATACCGATATTCTGCCCTATTGTCTCTCGCCTACCTAAATTTGACCCTCAAAATTTAAAGACAGCACGAATTCAATTTATTCCACAAATGTTATTACAGTTTACATTTTTGGATTCACGGTGAAATTTTGAGCAGAATGGTGGTTAAACTAATGAAAATACATGATTCTACGGTACACTAAGATCCACATCATCAACTTGCTGAACGCCATTCCTGTTACATATCAACATATCACGAAGAAATTTAGTTCATTGTGATATACTTTTTTAGCAGAATGTACATTTACTATGAATGTTGAAATCGAACGCGAAATGAGAAATTTCATCGATTTTTTTGGATCTCCAGTTGGCCGAGATGGAAGGGAGAAAAGGGTAACGAATTGAGAACCGACCAGGCCGAAGTGGCGTTCAAACGTCGAGTTAATGCTCCGATTGTACCTTTATCGGATTTAGGTCCAAATACTTTGCAAAAAACCGACAGGTACTCACTTCTGCCGCGCTAAGGAAAAACGCCGTATGGGCCTACAGGCGTTGCCTTATTTTCTTTAATAACCAACGAATTTACCGGAAAATTCTGAATATTTTTATTCCAATTTTTCAGACAATTTTGTTCCCAATTAATTGAAAAATATCGGAAAAGGTTAAGGGAAAATACACATAACTTTCTTCAAAAATACATGTTTTACTCGGGAAAATTCGGCAACTTTCAAATGTTCATACGGAGCTTTTCCTTAGCAGGCCATACTTGAAGGCAGTGTGTTGAAATTCACTGGAGGAGGCATCCAAGCGCCCTCATTGCTACTGCGTTGGAGTTCAGTCAAAATAGTTCGCAACACATTAAATAAATTATTAAAGAAAGGTCCGGAGTTGCGTTACAAAGAGCTACAAGAAGAGGGGGAATCAAAATTGCCAGGGCAATTTGGGGGTCCAA